CCCCCCCCCCCCCCCCCCGGTGCACGGAGCTCTGGCACCCCGGGCCACAGAGACCCGATCCCCTCGGTGCATGGAGTTCCGATACCCCAGTACATGGAGCCCCAGTGCCCAGGTGCACGGAGCCCCAACCTCCCCCAGTGCATGGAGCTCCGGCACCCCAAGCCACAGAGACCCAATCCCCTTGGTGCATGGAGTTCCGATACCCCAGTGCACGGAGCCCCAACGCCCAGGTGCACGGAGCTCCGGTACCTTGGGGCATGGAGCCCCAATCTCCGCCCGCCCCGTTGCATGGAGCTCTGGTACCCCAACGCACAGAACCCCTACCTCCCCGGAGCATGGAGCTCCAGTATCCTGGAGCATGGAGCCCAGGTGTCTCCAGTGCACAGCACCCCAGCACCTCAAAGCAGGGAGCCCCCGTACCTCGATTGTGGCAGTGCACAGTGCTCCGTACCCCGCCGCACAGAGGCTGGGTGCCCCCACTGCACGAAGCCCTGGTACCCCAGTGTACGGAGCCCCAGTTTCCCCCCTGAAGAGTGCTCTGGTACATGCAGCATGTGGAGCCGTATTTCCCCAGCTCATGGAGCCCTGGGACCCTGCCTTGCCCCAGCCAACTTCGGAAAGGGGTCCCATGCCCAGGGCTTACATTTCCACCCCGCTTCACCCCTGCCCAGCGTCTTGCATAGATAGCAAGTTTGTTAGGACTAAACTATTCCCTGCTTTTCTGTCCCTCGTCACCTCTTGTGAACTCCTGGAATCGCATTTTGTGTTTGTTAAAACCATTGGTTTGGATTACACTCATGGGGGATGATAACACAGCCGGTCTGAGCGCCTTCGGTCCGGGACTAACAGCTCAGCAGCTATTGGTGTCACTCATTCGTACGGCAGGTCAGGGCACTCTCACACAGCTCCTATCTCCCATCGCCTGATGGGTGAATAGATATTTGTCCGTGCAAAATCCATTGTGGGCAGGAGACGTACTGCTGAATGAGTACAGATCTCCTCTTACATTAGCAAATACGACTTGGATCTGGTCCAAATGCGTCTGGGTATAACCCGCTGCACAAAGCAAAGGCAGTTCTAGCATGCAACACCCCTGGCCGAGCTCAGTGCTTGCTGCTGATAGCTGCGATGGGGATAGCTCAGCTCCACGCCCTCCAGACAGCCGTTAGGGCCTGTCTTCGAGGTGTGTGCCAGCGTGCCAGCAGCTATCCAGGTATTTTGCAGTGATTTGGTGCGGATCCCGTGGGCTGGGTGCTCAGGGCTGCAGCAGCCTGCTAATGAGCGCAGAGCTGCTTTCTCCTACTCTTGCTGGACCAGTCGCTCCCAACAGCCCGGCGGGTCCTCCCTGCTACAAGAGGTGGCTCTCGCAGAGGAGGAGCAGCCGACAGGAGGGGAAGCTGGTCTCCTCTCCAACTTCGCCGTGACGGGCTCATATCCACAGCATGGCTCGCGAGACACCCAATTCTGCCCGCATCCCAGCATCCGACACGGCCTGTGTCGTTGCAGAGTTCCCAGCGCTTGGTGCAAACCCTCGGGAATCATTTGCCGCGCACTGAATCCTCCACTGCTCTATTTTCTTCCTAATTCATCTACAGACAGCAAAAGACACCTGTTTAATGGATGTCTGCCTGAGGTGCAAACCAAGACAAGCTGAAGGCCAGTGCAAAGGTTGCTCCCTTTCTTGTTAAGCTCTCTATTGCCAGAGACAGCCCGCACAGGAGGTCAGCGTGCCTCCTTTCACAACCATTCCCTTACAGACTAAGATTTTCCCTGAAGTCAGATCATCTCTTTGGCACCAGAAAAATCCTCTCTAGCAGCTGTTCCAGTGAAGCAAACACGGACGAAGCACGTAGCCTTCCACTGGAACAGGGGCTTCGCAACACCCTCACTCCCTCAGATGAGCTGGAAGGGTTTCTCTTGTAACCTTACCAACCACGATACCGGACAATGAGCTATTCCAGCAACGCCTCTTCTTCCTGGCGGATGGAAGTGATGGAATTTATCTGTCTACCCATGGAAATAAGCAGGAGCTGGGAAAGGGCTCTTCTGCAGCCTGCCTGCAGTGCAAACACCAGGCGTCCCTGCCTTCTGCCTCTCATCAATGGAGGAGCCGTAAGCTGGGGTCTTCACCGCACTTTTCTTGTTTGTGACCCTCCTACACAATCACCACTGTTACTAGTAGAAGACACCACCACATTCTTCTTGAGGCTAAGCGAGGTTCCCAGGCCCCTCATGCCAACCGACCCCAGGCAAACCAGCAGCTCTCACCAGGACGAGCTGCCAAGGGCTCCCACCGGTCCCTTCGCGTCCAGCAGCCGGGTGAAGAAGCAGCTGGGGGGATCTCTCCTCCTCTGGTGCAGGATCAGGCCTCTCAGACGCCGTCAGTTCTGCCAGGAAGAGCATAAAGGTTACACCAAATTGGACTTCCAATGATTCAGCCGCCAGAAATTATGCCACGTGCCAGCTCAGGTTTAAAAAGCAACATTTCTCAGATCTCTCAGAACTTCACCTCATTAATCCTCCATTTCAAAGGAGATGAATTGCACCTACCGGTACAGACTGGTTTTTAACATCCAAAGTAAATTAGTTTTCCCTGTAATTGTTCAACCTTTCAAACAACAGTGCTGACTTCTACTGCAGTTTCCATCTGAAAAGAATTTTCCTAGGACCAATTTCCAAATGTGATGTCAAAGGACTTCGGCTCTGGAATATCACCGGGGAGGTGTCTTGACATCCGCTTGCGGCTCGGAGAGGTTTAGGGCTGTTCTGTGCCTGGCGGAGGAACCACGGCCTCGGATCTGGACCCCCCAGAGCGTACTGTAGCAGGGGGACACTGGCTTTGCCTCTATTTTGGACACAGAGATAACCAGTGATTTAAAAGTGCTTTGAGATCCTGATACGAGAGATATTATTAACCTGTGAACATAAAAACTGGGGGTAACTGGGAGTTAGCTTGCGAGCTAACTCTAATCAGCTTAACCAGGCGATTAGAAGAGCTGTGCTGAGTATGGAAGTTTCTGTTCCGTTAAGGATTTTAAAACTTCAGTGTGAAGTGGAACAAAATGCTCAAAATTTCAACATACCCCACAAGGGGAAATGAGAACTAAAATTTCCTTTCAAATCTGCTGGAACGTTTCGTTTCAATTTCAGCTTTAGAAACGCATGCACTTTAAAACCATTTTTTTTAAAAACAAATTTGAAATATCTTATTTCAACAGCAGAAGAATGCAGTTCCCCAGCCAGCTCCCTGGGCTCGGGACCGAAGCCTCCATACTGAATAACGAGCTAGCTTTGTCCCCTCTAAAAGAGGCGAAAGCATCGCGAACCGGCTCTGCCCTTCCACAGCATCCTTGTTTGCACGGAGCCGAACCCAGCACCTCCTGCCCGCTGCAGCAGGTTGGATCAGGCCCTCGAAGAAGACACAAAACCCCTCTCTCCTCTGGCCAGCCTGGCCGAGCCGGGAGGGGATTTTGAGTCCGATCCAGAACTAATGGATTTGGCACGCATTCCTCGCTGCTGGCGAATGGGCCGACGGGCTTTTCAGCCCCGATCCCTTTCAGATGGGAATCGTGCTACCCACATACGTATCGCCCAGAAGGGTATTAAGTGACTCCAGGAGGGAAAAAGGCATAGAGAATCACATGCCAGCTGCCAGATTGGCTCTCTTGAGAAGTTGGATGGCAGAGGGTTTTTTACACTCCTAAGAGACCACAGGCTTTTGGCTAGGGATCCACCTTTATTTAGGATTTATATAATCCGAGCGAGACTTTGAGCAACAGCAAAACTATAAACGGTGGAAGGAGATATAAAGAAAACAGGCAAATGGAGTCTTTTCTCCGTGTTTAAAATAGCCAGTTTCCAAAGGAAAAGAAAGAACCTAAAATGAGATTTCAGTTCTTCCCTTACAACTGTTCTTAAAAACTAAGTTTAATTTAAGAGGCACCGCCATGTCGCTTGCTGATAACATATGAAAAACTCACATCAAATACTATCCAAAAACAAAAGCAAAAGTCTATTTCCAAGTATTATGACTGTTAAGAGAAATGGAAAACAAGCCACTCTAACGGCAAAACAGTTATTTGGATACTGAACAAGCACTCAAGAGTAACTCTTGGAGAGTAAAAGTGCATGTAGTTTATAAAGTTTCCCAGTGCTGAGGACAACAGCAAGATCCCTGGGGAGAGATTTCTCGTCTAGCTGTGCTGAAGAAGCTGCTGGCAACTCCAATAAACTGCCTCCCAGCACTGCCTTCCCCCAAAAAGCCCCGATTCAAACCATTCTCACCTTCAAAAAGTCTTTCTTCAGCTGCTGAAATTATTTCTCATGGTGACTGCAAAGATATCCTCACTGGAATAGACAGTATTCTCTAACCTTCGGGAGATCCTCATCTCGTCCGCTTCGCTTTATGCGAAACCGGGAGGCTTCTGAAAGCTGTCCACCACGTTCGGGAAAGGCTCGTCTCGGCAGGTACCGAGAACTGCCAGCTTCCACGCGGCAGCGAGCGCCCCAAGTTCGACAGCCTCCTTCTTGGCGATATTAATTCCAATTTCTTCAGTAAAAGCCCATGTCATCCTCAGCACTTGCCTGAAAACTCAGTCCCCAGACACAGCGTAACGTTTTATTAGCAAATATGTAGGTATCGCTCGCTCTCGTTCCGAACTTGCCCATTTTCACTTTTAATACTGTGTTCCTCGGCTTCCCCTTTAAAATGCAGAGGCACGTTATCTTCCATCACTGCACTCAATACAGTTTGCAGGGCATTAACCTTGGCTCTAAGTGTTCGGAATTGATCTTCTGGTTTCCAATTCCAGTCTTCAGATCCCCAAATTGTTGGTCCACAGAGACTAATTTGCCACCGAAATAATCCATTTGTCACTGCAGGATTTTAAATCAAGGCTCCATTTTTGCAGCCATAGACTGTAAATGCAGTAGGACTTTTTCCACGATTATTAGTTACATCAATTTCAGAAGCGTCTCTGCATGGAGGGTCGGATGATAACACAGCCTCAGGGGCAGAGCAGGGAGACTCGGGAGGCTCAGCTAATTGGAAATTAAAGGCAAGAAAGAAATTCCTTGGACTCTTAGCCCAAGTGGATATTAAGCTTTTAGCATTTAGCAGACGTATTTAAATATAAAGAAACATTACACAGAAGCAGTCTTAGACAGACATCATCTTTCCTTTAGCTCTTATGTCTTGCAGCTTGAGAAAGGAAGCTACCAACAAACCAGCTCCACTGCTGCAGGTCCCCGACCGGCCAGTAAACCCCACCAGACCCACTCCTCTGTCGACCGCTACCGCACACGCAACCCCAGGCAGGTCCCGCAGGCAGCACCTCCAAAGCCAACACCTGCCCCAGTACGGGCAGTTGGCAAAACTGGGCAGCTATCACAGGGACCAACTTCAGACCAGAGGCTCAGGATAATTGTTAAGGGCAGATGCGGTAATACATGCTGGCCGCTTTGTGATCCAAGGAGTGTATCGGTGTTTTTGAGCTGCCCCACGCTAACGCTGCAGGCTGGCAGTGCTCATCCCTGCGGCTGTGCTGGTGGACGCAGCCTCAGGCCACGTACGCCCCTGGTCCCCACACCAGCCCCTGAATTGTACCTGGGCAGCTGTGTGGGCTGGGATATTGATCCACGTTAAAAATAATACAGGGAAAAGAAAACAAGCTATTTTTAACCCGGGTCAGTCCCGTGATCTGGAAGGTGTAACTGTGAGACCGTCCCAAAGCAAGGTGTTATTCAGTCATTTTACAGGTGCGCACAGACAAATCATATAATGCATTTCTGATAAATTAGTTTATTTTTCTTCATTAGTTCTTCATCTCACAACTTTAAAATCTGTACGTCTTTGGGAAAGGCATTGATTTAAAATTCTTCCTAGCTATCCAGCTGTAAAACTACTATTCTTATTTAAATTGAAAGCAGTAGCTTCTTCACATTAAGTTTTGATCTTTTATAATAAATGGACATGAAGCAGATAATAAACAGATATCAAGTCAATTCACTTATAGCAGCCAGCTTTCTAGTGCAAAGTTTACATCCAGTATCTATGCACTGAGAGATTATTTCAATGAGGAACGAGGACTTTGTGTGCTGGGTAACCAGACAAACACCGTGTGTGCTGAGGATTGGATGGCTTGTCCAAGCAAGTTACACAAACAGGGGAAAAGCAGTATCTTCAAAACTGCAAGCTGTGAAAGAGCAAAGAACGAAGTGGCAGCCAGGCAGGCAGGGGACGCGGGGTAGCAGGCATCACTTCGCTCACGATGTGCATACCGCAAATGCTAAGAACTGAGAAACGTGTCTGGGCTAGTGCTCAGATGACGAGCTGCGATCCTGCGATGTGATCTCGTAATAAGCAGCACGTAGAAAGACAAAGCGCTGTTACAATTCGCAGCAGACATGTTCATAAATATATGAGGGCTGACAGCGATTTTCAGGGAGTTGCAGTGACAGACTCCCTCCTCTGGTGGTATCTTTATCTGCTGATAACAGTGAACTGCAGGGCTCTGAACGCTTCTGGGTGACAGAAGCACTAAAGCAGAGGTGGACAGCACCCAGAAAATGGGACATTATTGGTTTTGTCCGGTCTCCCGTGCTGACAGACGCACATGACTGCCTCAAGTCCTCCTACCAGTCCTTCTCATACAGCATCACTGAAGAACAGGCTGATCAGAATCTCTCAAGACTTGAGCTACCCACACCATGTCAAAACAAGGAGAAATGTTATGGATGAACTGGAAATGCCTCGATATACTGGAAGGACAATTAGGAACATCATAAGGCATCTAAGACATTTGGACTATAAACAAACGCCATTTGCAGATGCGCAAACAGTGAGTTTCAGAGGCTCTGCCAGCTGGTGAAATGTTGGCTGTGATTTCTGAGAGGTGGAACAGTAAGAGCTGACTCAAGTGCTGTTCTTATTACAATCTTATAGGATTATCCAGCTTCACGAGATATACACTAGGAATTACTGTGGAGGGGATTACAGGTAGCATAAACCATGGGAACGGAGAGAATGAGAGCATTTGGGATTACAGGGAGGATAAGAACGAGCAGTTGAGAAGCCTGCAGCAGGCAGCAGCACAGCAGTTACCAGAGAAGCAGAGCTCCCAACCCATCTCAAGCCAGCCCCAAGCTTTGCTTGGGAAGGAAGTAGAGCTGTTTACTGGTACAGAGCACCTCGATTTTTCCCAAGGCAGCACAACGCCATGCGGAGAGGGCATGTGTACCGCATAAAACGCCGGAGTGGTGGAAGTGGAGCTGTCAGTAGTGCAAACGGCATGTTCGGGGTTGCTTCTAGCTACTCCCCTGAAGCCCCAGAGTAACCTTGCTTGGTTTTGTTTGAGACATGTTTATTAGCAAGAGCGAAGGATGTGAAACAGGCTCAAAAGCAGATGAGAAATTTGCAATGTGAAATTGGGCAAAGGATCGGCATTTACCATGAACTCTGTTTAAAGAAGTGCTACACCCAGGCTGTGGAAAGTTTGCACAAGGAGAATTCCTCAGAGAGCGTACACTGGAAACAGGGTCAAGAGTTAACATCTGATGTAAACGGGCATTTCTGAGCCTGCAGTTGGCTGGGCCCAGATCATGAGACTAGAAGCGTGACTTAAACCATATTTGGACCCAGATTTTTGGAAATTAAGAAAACCCCTGACATGAACAACGACCCCCAGCTCCCCAAGAACACCCTGCACACCATCAATAAGGCAATACTTACACGAACACTATCTTCACATTTCTTTATACCATTACCTAGGGAATGTTTGCAGCTACAGATGGAAGGAAGGCAGGGCGTTCTCCCTGGAGCCAATCCCTTAGTCGGGAACAGGAGGGAGCACTCGCTTGCACCCAGCGATACACGGCAGCAGTACGGCTGCACCCAGCACTCACAAGTTCAGGAAGAAAGGAAAAACAAGCTGGCGTCCAGAGTTCACAATGGAAATCAAATGTTAAAACAACAATTTACAGGCAAGCAAAACAAGGGCAGTTTGGGCAGGGTTTTCTGGCGGCTGTGAGTTTCCCAAACAGTCCTCCATGGCCGCTGTTGGGGCATTTGAATGAGCAATGATTTGAGAGAGCAGGCTGGGTGGAAGGAGCAAGAGGAATGGTGCATCCATGGCATTTCTGAGGTGATGGCAGAGTTGTGGTTGTCCACAGCGCTTTTACAATTGAAACAGTCTTCACTGAAAAGTTACCATTTACGGAAACAACTAAAACAACAGAAGAGTACAGGCTAAACCCTGAGTACTAGCAATATAAACACTGGCCCTTTTGGAAGAGCAAATGATGATATCATCCATACATCGCACCCTTCCTGTGTAAACAGGAGTGCCAACGTGAGAAGACATGCTTTGTAAACCATATGTCCGGTTGGTTACAGCTTTTCTGTGTGGTTTTTGAGGGCTGCAGAGAAGATCAATGAGGCCAAAAGCACTTCTTAGGATCAGACTTGGGAGGTTTCAGGCACTTCCCTAGCTTCTCACAGCCTGGAGGAGACCAATTCTGTTAAAAACAAACAAAAAATATATAGAAAGATGATTCATATCAAGTATCTGCTAAGCCCTAACCAACCCTTTTTGATTCTCGCAAAGATGCTCTTATGTCCTGCTTGAAAAATGAAACTCCTCTTGCAGCTAATGGTCCTGGGCTCACCAACTTCCCAACTCCAAACGCTATTCAAAAAAAGCTTTAGGAAAGACTGCAAATCCTTCTGCAGCATATGATTCCCTTTTCTGGGATACAGGGGTCTCTCCTGTGCAAATGCAGTCTGCTAGAATTCTGGTGAACTTCTTCTCTTTCCTGTGGTAGCATGGAGCAACCAGGCCATGAGGTTTTGGTGAAATCCCCAATTTTCCTGGGATCCAGAAAAGCATTATCATTCTTAGCACTAAGATAGCCATGCACTTTCTTGAGAACAAGCAAAAAGCAACAGAAGGCCAAGGGTGTGAGAGAGATAAGAATGCCTGTATTTTAACGAGCATTTTGATGGATGAATTCATGAACAGATGGAGTAGGAGGCATTTAAAAGACAACTCCTCCAGTGCATGCAGACCAAAACTATTTGCCTCCCTTGTTTCCATGTTTCTCGAACTACCTTTCTCCAGTATGTGTACAACAGAGAAGCGACGTCAGCAAGGAAACCCACTGCAAACCTCAGTTTCCAAAGGGATTAACGACAGAAGAAATTTGGATAAAAGAACTTTTTCAATTTCGTTGGGGTTATGTAATTTAAAATTTGGGACTGCGGTAATGTGAATGGCAGGTTACAATCCCCATTCTGCCTTCAGAAATCGTTTGCGTTCATTCTCTGTCCCTCCCTCTCTCAAGGTCTATCCATCCATGGGAGATTCCTGCTGTAGCCTATTAAAGGTCAGTTCAGCTCTGACCTATTGCCTTTCGTTTTATTTATTTTTATCCTTCAAGTCATTTACATTTTCTTGGAATTAAATTCCTATAGAGTAAAAGAAAAGCTTAATTCCAGAAAAAATGCCGGAGCAGGTTTCTATTCCATACAGCTGACAACAGATGGCAGTGAGACACCAGCTATCTCCGCAGAAGGAGCAGACCACAGAGGGGAGCTTTGGCAGACGGCACCTCACTGCACGAAGGGCTCCAGACAGTTTAAGAACAATTAATGCTGTTTTCTAAATTCGTTTCTCAATTTTAAAATGCACAACCACCACTGGAAATTTCAGATGCCTGACCACTCTGTAGAAGCAACAGAAATCCAAAGAAACAAATGAAATATCTGTTCTTTTGAAAAAAACAAATTGTATCTGCTTCAGTCTCGCGGTCCAAGTTGGCTTTCCTGGATCTGTAAGTGCTGAGAGCCCTGAGGACACCATGTGTGCTGCAAATCAAACACGCAGTCAGGCCAGCACAGCTCCACTGCATGGAGCAATTTCTCCCACACTTCCACAGGAGGAAAACATAGCAGAACTGGCTCCGCGGGAGCTTCATCTACACTGCTGGTGGGATACACCACAGATGGGCCAGCAAACACTTCCCCTGCTCAGGAGGGCTGATGCTGCTGCGCTTACATCAATCCCAATACTGCAGTAGCTACAAAACCATCCATCTGCTTCGCTTATGGATAAGTAAAGACAATGCTTCTCCTCAGAAAGGATATTAAACGCCCAGATCAAATAAATGGATGACAGAATTTAGAAGACAGTATTGGGCATAATATTAGTAGGTGATATTTATCTCCCAGCATCCTCCAAACACAGATTTAGGGCCCAGTCAACCCCAGCAATACTATCACTCCAAAAAGATTTGGTTATCTTCATCTCTGGTCTCAAAAGGCAATAATTTGGTGCCTGTTTGTTTCAGTTTTGTGACTGTGTAATTAGCCTGTTAGGAGTTTACATAGAATAGAAAACTCGTAATGTAAAAAAGTTTCCTGCTGGGATCTGAACATTTCTCCTGGGATTAAAATACCCCCCAGCCCTCCGGGGAGGGCTTCCTGCCTCAGACAGCCTGAATGATCTGGTTTGAGCTTGGCCAAGCACTGGAGCAGTCATTAGCTGCCTCTGCTTATAGACTGGGCAGGCATAACTGGACTTGGCCAAGCCCTGGACATTGCCATAGCGAAAGCAGAAGCGGCAGCCCATGGTCCGCAAAACTTCTACCGAACCGAGGTAGAACGAGGCATGCTCAGGCAGAAGACTGACCCTCAGTAACCCCAAGGAGAGGGCTGGGGTACGGGACCAAGTATGGGACCTCCAGTCCAACACTTTTTCCATTATGCAACCCAAAGACACGGGATGTTGACAAACAAGGATACCAGATGTTTTCACAGCACCTAAACACACTGCACTAGGGTAGCTGCAGAACAGCGGAGTATGCCTACAATTTATGAACCAGCTTTGGAGCTGGAATTAGCACAGAAGAAATGCCTTTCCAGTGAAGGTCTCTGGCAGCAGCCAGGCGCTGGGGAGAGTGCCTGAACCCAAAAGGTCCCAGAGGAGCACGGAACAGTGTTTATTAAGGGAAAAGTTGAATAATGAAAGAAAACAACACAGAAACAATGGTCCTTCAAATCTTTTTCCTACTTAACATCCAAAAATAAAAAGATGTGACAAAGCTAAAAAAGATCTTTGCCTTCTTATTAAGGAGACACAGCTCCACATTTTGTACTTTTCTGTCTGGCTGGAGACAGACCCTAAGCAGCAGGTACTGACTGTTTGTTTCACAAGATTATTTCAGCGTCAGAGAGATTTTGCCTGTTACTATTTTGTGTCAGTCTACAGGCACATCCCCTTAGACTACACACACTCCTGTCATCTGACAACTTTACCTCCAACAAACCATCCAGTTTCTTTCCCAGGTTCTCAACAAACCAAGCAGCATTTGACAGGAAAGCCAAGCTGTAACTTTCCAACATGCAATTTGAAACAGAAAACAGAGTTGAAAATGTTTGTCATGTTTCAAGCTATAAAGACTTTGGAAAAGTCAGGCACGGGTGGAATTGGAGGAGACCGAGCAAGACCAAAGATACGCTCACACATCACTGAAGAAGAGCCACTGTCCCAGTCCCACCACTCAAAGCACAGAGAACTTTTGAGATTTGCAGAAGGGGATTAGAAAGGAGAAGAAGGATCTACAGCTGTAGATACTGCTGTATCTCTAAGGAAGGAAGCCACAGAGTTCATCACAGCATGTTGGTAGACCTAACCCCACTCACTTTGTACGAGCCTTCCTATGCTGCTGCGTTCCACAGGTAACAAACAGCCCTCTCCTCTGTGGAACAGCCAGACAGCCCTTCAAACGGGCGAGCGCGAATCTCTTCTCCATCCCTTCCCAGTATTAGGTGACATTTTTAAGCCTTTACAAAATATATTTTAAGCTAAGGATTCTCAAATGTATTTATGCTTTAGCCACTCACCATGACAGCCTTGTCGCACACGTTAAGCTGTGGCTCCCCTGGCACCATGGTCACTTTGTGCTGCTGGACAATGACAGATATTCGCTCCATAGCCCTTTGGTATTCATCGCTGGCAAAACTAGAATGTGAAAAAAATACAGACGTTGTTAGTGGGGCTTCATACACGGCATCATTACAGTGTCCATATCACTAAGCTAGGTCAGAAGACTTTTCCTGGGCCATAGCAAAGGAGAAGAGTACATAAACATGCAGTTGACACTAATTGCCCACAGGTCCATAGGGGAATGAAACATCTGGGCTGAGAGAGTCCAGCCTGGCTGGGCCTGGAGGCTGCAGGTCTGAGATGCTCTGCTTAGGGCAGCAAGGATGGCAGATGGCTTGCCCTCCCCAGCAAAGAAGCACATGGCTCCTGGCAGATCATCTCAGCACAGGGCTTCAGCTTTCAAAACTGCTAGTCCCAGTGGCCCCAAATGTGCCGCTTCGTAGTCGGGCAGATATGCCGCAAGCTCGTGTTGATTCCCAAGGGGGATCTTGTTGGCAAAGATGGCATGTACAAAGAAGGGTGCTTCTGGAGCTGCCCTCGAGCTGTGCCTTAAATGATTATCAAGGGAGGCTTCCTAGACACAGGACAAACACCTTGCCAGACACGTTAGTACATAAACAAGTTTGCTGAGGCGATCCTTCCAGCGTGTCACCCAAGAGGTGACCCAGCTCTCTGCGTGTTCATCCTCCACTCCTTCAAGTGCTTTTCTGAACACGCGCATCACGCAGAGGCATTTATTGTAGGGAATCCAAGGTAATGTCAATACTTTGTTTTTCAAGAGTGTTCTCAAGCTAAGGGTTTCAAATACAACCGTTGGCTAGCAAAACTTCACAATCACCAAGTAAGACGAACTAATATTATGCAAACAGGAAGATGGAGAAGAAGAATAGAAGTGACTTGTCCAAGACAAGAATACCTCCTCCATTTCGCAACATCCACCCTGGGGTTCTGCCCCATCTACATTCTTCCATTACAGCTTTATTATTCCAAGCTGGGACCCATCTGTCATGCTCCAAGCCCTCATACAGGGTTATAAATTACCAGATTTTTATCCATCCGATTACTCCAGTAGGTACTTGTTTAAGTGGTTCAGGGTGTACTTCACTAATACTTCAAGTATTTCTAAAATGGAGGATTACTACCGAATGATCTCATTTTGTCCATCATGTTAAGAGTCACTTATAAAACAGAGAGCGGCAAATTGCTTCTGAAGATAAAAGAAACAATGCAGCTTAGTCCTGACCTCAGGCTCCCTCTGCTTACAGTCCAAGCTGGCCACCAGCCCCACACTCCAGCTAATTTCCTCCTTTGAAAAACAATCACATTTCGAAGCCCAGTAATGTGCCAACAGTTTCCAGTAAACCCTATAAATATCACATCTCGGCAACCATCCAGAGAGAAGCTGATTGTGGGGATGGGCCTGAGCTTTGCTGATAGAGAACCGGAAGGGAATTTGAAATGACAAGCTCGAGCAAACTAATCTGCGGCTCTCACACCCAGCTAGCTGTATCCTGGTGGAGCAGCTATCACCGGGACCGGCTGTGTGATCTGTACGGACCACCCTGAAATTCAGACTATTCTTGCAAAGCTCCCGAATTTGCTTGCTCCTCTCCCCACGCATCCCACCTTAGCTCTCACAGCAGCCGGCTGCTTACTCCTGCGCTGCCCCAAAGACTCTGCTGAAAGCAGCAGGAAAGGCAGAAGTTTGGGAGCTGCCAAAGCCCATCTCTGACTCACACCCTGATGAGGACACTCAAGGCAGCAATCACTTGGCTTTGAGTGTTGCATCCCGGTGGCACAATGGCCTTTCAGTTTGGCGAGATTTTATCTGGAAGCCTTCTGGTCGCATTTCAAGCGCACAGGATTGCCAGCCCGGCAGCATGCTTGAAAAAAAATCGAAACAGATTTTTAAAAGAGGCAGAGAGGGTTTAAAGCTAACCTGTGTTGACACGCAGAGGACAGCGAACACGGGAGAGCCTGCACACGGAGAGAAAACGCTGCAGAGACAAACACACTGAGGGAGTCTGCCTAAAACCGCAGGCGAGTACCAGGGATGCACACAGCATGTCGGACATCTGAGCTGGAGACTGGATGAAACGGGGGAGCCAGGGACATTTTAAAGCCTACATACTCTAGTGATGGAAACGGAGGTGAAACACAGTTTAGGGAGACACGTGTATTTCAGTGTTTTAGATTTCTAATGCACTTATTGTGCCAGGATTTGAAAGCTCCTCCAAACCCGAGCTAATCACACTTCATTAAGATCCTCGTATGAAGGATTAATATGAATTAATACATATTTTAATCAATTGCTAGAGTCTAACAGATACTCTAGATATCAAATCATTTAATACCTCCTACTGCTGCTCTTGTAACTATCTAATGTGGTTTTTTCTTGTGTCATCTCTCCAGCATTGAAGATCTTCTTTTGGAAGTGGACCCATAAGATAAAATGTTGCTGCTAACTAATTAAGCTCCACAGCATCTTTGCAAATATTTAAGTGCTAAAGAGATAGCTCAATTTCATCCATCGAAACGGCTTTTCATACATAGGATTCCAAATTAGCTATAATCTGGACAGACCAGTGGAAAACACAGCTGCGGTCTGGATGAAAGATAAACAATATGTTGTCACGACTGCTGCTTTTTGCTCCAAATATGCCAGTCCTGTTGCAATGAAAAAAAATCTTTTTGCTATAATCTTAACTACTGCATTTATCCACGGCATTGTTGCTCATTAGCAACCTACGACATGTGAATGCCATGGTATAACAAAGTAGGCTCGAGTCATTTAAATCATCTTCTTGCTTTAATTCCCACGTTCGGGACACTCCGGGCTTTTTCAGCTAGCTCAGCAGTGACAGGAAATCTCGGCCTAACCTCAGCTCCTGGTGTTTTTGAACTGCTCTCCTCTGCAGCTTCTACACTTCTAGATTATTTCAGCATTTAGCATAGGCTGAATGACTTCCCCAAAGCACGGCAGAAACGGCTTGGCACATATAAAAGACTCACACTTCTCACATAAAAAAGACTCGCACTTCTCACATAAGTACAAAGCTGCCTAAAGCTAAAGAACATGTATAGATTATGCTCCAAGTCATACCACTAACCTATAAACCTTGTCTCAGTAGGGCTTAACATGCTCTTAAGCTGGCTAAACCTGTTGACACTAGCTTAAAACATATCCGATTGCAGCTATCTTCCTTGTGTTGCAGTACACAATAGTGACGGGCCCCGAGTGCTGTAAGGTGTCATTCAATACTGGAAGATCACCACAGATCATCTTCAGATGCATCAGTTGAACACATGAACTATCTTGCTCATCCAGACGTGTGTCAGGTCTCCATGCGTAGCAGGGGACTGCAACGCCTGCAGGATGGCACCAGCCCCGGGGCTGGCATTCACATGAAACTGGAGTCACCCACTCAGACAAAGCAGTGCAGGTTGGTTTTCCTGTCTTGGCCCCATGGAGATCCCCATTCCTCACTCTGATGAGCTCAGGTTTTGCTCAGACAGACCTGTTTAGCTCCACAAAGCACACCAAGACCCAATATCCATGCAGCGATTTGTAAAGTATTTACTGACTGCATATGGGGGGTTAAAACTGTCTCCAGCACTACGCAAGAAGTGCATTTTGAGACAAAAATCTACAAGAGAAGAGTGCCTTTAATCTGTACGTAAGACGGGGATAATTACTTCATGGTAATCAGTCTGAGCTGTTCACAGAGCTGGGAACCTCTCTTACTCTTACATGGAGTCCCATCATTTCCCTGAATGCGTATGCAGAACTGGGCTGCGAGGGCAGGGTTTGCTACATTCTCTGTTCCAAAAAAAATGGTATTATCTACACAGGTGTTTGGGCATTATTGTCTGCATGAAGATCCAAACCTTGCTGCCTCCGGGGCAAGCTGCATTTTGTATTCTAGTTCAACAATCCTGCAGAAGGAGAGCTGGGAATAGCACTAGAAGAATGAGGGGGTGAGCAGGTGGTGTTGTGAGGAGTTTGCTAAAAGAGATCCCCCAGCGTACATGAAATTATTCCACGCTCAGAATGAGGGAACAGAGTGGACAAAGTCCAGGGTCATTACACTAATTGACACTTTACCTCCAGGAAGTCTCTGGAGATCCAATCAGGGCTGGATTGCGAGCGCCGGGTCCCAGGCACAGGTGTGGCCTGTGCTTCCTTCATTTAGTGTAATTGTGCCTTGGCAATCTGTTCCCATCTCCTCCTTCGCCAAACAACTCCAGTGTAACCTGCTCTGCTATTAACCCCACCATGCCCTGCACTGAAATTCAGGTTTGGAAGAAGGAGGGTTTGTCTCACACGCTGCCTTCGGTGTTAAGAGCTCCGGTTTAATCTTGCAGTCGTCAGAGTCTTTCACCTCCAGGTCTGCTAGCATCCTGAGCTGTAAGGAGGAGGAGAGAGCGATTCTCTTCCATCGTAAATACACCCTCAAATAGATCAGAACCGGAGCAAATTAAAGAGCATTTTTTAAAATCTAGATCTTGATGTTTTATACCTCACCCATATACGGGCACAGCGCAGTATGTCTATCCTGGGAGCGACAGGACTATGTTATTATTGAGAGGAATGTCACAAAATGGGTATTATATAGTGCGCTTCATAGGAACCTGACAGCGGGCTCTTAATAGCAGCATTCAGATTTATAGTGTGTTTTACCAGACGCACATGAAGTTATGGGAAGAGCATAAAACTTGGCTAATGTTTTGTATATTTTACTTCCTTTTCCACTGGAATTATTTTAATTAAAAACATTATTTTTAATTGCGAAATACACCCAGATTCAGGTAATTCGATTTTATCTGTTATCAGGCTGCTCAGCACTGTAGTATCCAAGTCTTGATCTTGTCCTATTGAGTCTTCCTCAGTTCCTCTCTCCTATTATCAAGTTTATCTGCAATTTAAAGTCTGCACAATACATGAGGCAGACAACAGGTTTGGGGCTCTGCTGCTGAAACATGGCAACTTGCAATTACTGGAAAGATCCACAGGGCCAAAGGAAAACAAAAAAGGAATCAAACAGAAGAACGCTGGGCTGCTCATACCCCAATTC